CCCCGGATTACAACAACAACAACAACGGCTCCCGCCTGATACTTCTTCCACATTTACTCAGGACCCCCGCTCCTGAGACTTCCTCACAATTTACTCAGGATTGGTGCTCCCGCCTGTGACTTCCTTGCAATTAAGTCAGGACCCCCGGCGCTCCCCCTTGAGACTTCCTCGCAATTGAGTCAAGACTTCCTCGCAATTTAATCAAGACCCGCCAGAGAACCCCTCACATTTTATTCAGGAATTGCGTTGTCGCCTGTGAGTTCCATGCGATTTATTCGGAAACCGCGCTTTCGACGCTCAAGAAACACGCTGCGCCAAGGACGCCGCTGCAATTTACTTAGTAATCGCGCTCTCGCAATACTCAGGCATCGCGCTTGAATTTCCCACCCGCCCAACCCGCCCGTCAGGGGATCGCCCGCCCGTCGTGGGCTCCCGCCCTAGGACTTCCTCGAACGTTCACGCTTTTACCTTCCTGCTCCTCCTCCCTCTCCCTCCTCCCTCCTCCCTCCTCTCCTCCCTTCTCTCTCCCTCCTCTCTTCCCTCACCCTTATGCCTCTCAACCCTATCCCCTCTCCCTCCTCTCCCTCTTTCCTTCTCCCTCCCCTCTCCTGCCTCCTCCCTCCCTCTTCCTTTCTCTTTCTCTCTCTCTCTCTCTCTCTCCCCTCTCTCTCTCTCTTTCTCTAACTCTCTGATATGTCTTTTTCTTTCTCTCTCTGCCTCTAATCAACCGCTCCCCTCTTCGCTCTTTCTCTCCTGGCGTTCTCCCTTTTCCTTCGTCCCTCCCCTTCCCTTCCTCCCACTCTCCCTCGTTCTCCCCTTCCTTTTTTTGCAGGGCCCACACCAATTCCAGAGGCGGGCACATGTACGCCCACGAAAGATGGTCCGCCCGTTCAGTTTTGTCCGCCTGTCTAAGCCTGCCGCCCCCCGCAAGGATAATGAATGGCCCCAAAGGGGGAGTGATCGAATACAAAAAGGGCGGGTATCGAGGGTGTGGAGAACTCGTTTTGAATGACACACGGGCAAGTCAGAGCAAACAGTCTTACAATGATTGTTTTTGTTGTTGTTGCTGTCGGTGCTGGGTTCTTATGTGCAACCAATAGTTATATTTGATCTTTCCTGCCCAGTAGCTATGGCTTTTTAATTCAAGTGCTTCTCCTTGGGCTCGCACATTTCTTTTATTGGTTTGTTTTTGTTTTTTTGTTTGTTTGCTTTTTCTCGCAATGGAAGACGAGGTGTCACCAAACTGCGCCCTTCCCCCCCGGCTTACTTCCTCACAATTTATTCCCGAATCGGGCTCTCGCGAGGGAAGTCCCCGCAATTCATAATGGAATTGCGCTCGCGAATGGGTTTTCTTTGATTTATTCAAACGCCGCTCCCTCGACACTCAGGAATCACGTTTTCGCTGTTGAGTTCCTCATGATTCATGTGGGAATCGCGCTATCGTTTGAGACTTCCTCGCGATTCATGTAGTAATCAAGAGAAGCCGCGTGCTCGACCTGGCCGCTTGGGCCCGCCTTCCCGGCCCGCCGGGTAGGGTCTACCCGCCCGTATGGTTCTGCCACGTGCTTTCTGCTCCTAACCCCCCTCCTGCTAATCCCGTGTTCCATCCTCCTCCCTCCCCTTTGTCCCTTCCTGCCATCCGTCGTCTCATCCCCTACCTTACGGGCTGCGCGAAATACACGTTGAATGTGAGAAATCTACCCCCAAGGGGGTACGATCGAAGACGAAGAGGGCAGGTACAGAGGGTATGGGATCTTCGTGCGGAGTGGCCCGCGAACAGATAAGAGCGAACAGTATTAATATGATTGTTGGTGTTGCTGTTGTCGTCGTCGTTGTCGTTGTTGTTGTTGTTGTTGTTGCTGTTGTTGTTCTTGTGCTCTCACTTCTGAAGAGTAATTTGGGTTGATCCCCCCTGTTCGGCGCAAAGTGTATTGTTTTCCTATTGAAGCCCCTTCCAGGGATCGCACCCTGTTTTTTTATCAGGGACAGTCTTGAAGGTCAAACTGGCGCCTCTGGCCCCCAAATTACAACGAAAACGGCTCCCTCCTAATACTTCCTGACAATTTATTCCCGAATCGTGCTCTCGCGCGGGACTTTCTCACATTGTATGCAGGAGTTGCGCTCTCGCGTGGGACTTTCGGGATCTATTCAGACGCCGCGCCCTCGACGCTCAGGAATCGCGCTCTCGCTTGATATTTTGTCGGCGATTCATGTGGGAATCGTGCTATCGCTCGAGACCTCCTCTCGATTCATGCAGTATTCACGCTTTATTAAACCGCCTGCTCGACCTGGCCGCCTGGGCGTTTTCCCGGCCCGCTCCTTCGGGTCTACCCACCCGATCAGCCCGTCTGGTTTTGCTACGTGTTTTCTGCTCCTAGCCCCTCTCTTACGAATTCCGTGCCCCATCCCCCTCCCCGTTTCCATCCGTCCTCTCTTTGTTCGAAGGGCTGCGCCAATTACTCGCGGCAGGTAAGGAAGATATACCTCCAGGGTGGTACGATCGAAGACAATGAGGGCGGGTATCGAGGGTTTGGGATATTTTTTTTGACTGGTATGCGAGCAGGTCAGAGCGAACAGTCGTAACATGATCGTCGTTGTTGTTATTGTTGTTGTTGCTGTTGAAATTTCACAGGTGGAAATAATTATTGTTGATCCCCCCTCCGGTAACCATTGTCTTTTTCACTTCGAATTTTTCTCCCGGGGCTCGCACTTAGTTTTTATTGCACGGGAAAGTGGAGGATGACGAAGCTGCGCCCCAGGCCCCCGAGTTACAACAACAACGGCTCTTGCTTGATACTTCTTGGCAGTTTATTCCCAAATGGCGCTCTCGCGCGGAACGCCTTCACAATTCATTCGGGAATCGCGCTTTCGCGTTGGTTTTCTGTTTCCATTTATTCAGACGCTGCGCCCCCCACGTTAATGAATCACGCTTTCGTTGTGGTTTTCCTTACGATTTCTTCGGGAATCGCGCTATCGGACTATCGCTCGAGAGATCCTTGCGATTCATGAAGTATTCACGCTTCAGCAACCCGCCTGTTCGACCTGGCCGCGTGGGCCCGCCTTCCCGACACGCCTGTCAGGGTCTACCCGCCCGATCTGCCCGTCTGGTTCTGCCACGTGTTTTCTGCTACTAGCCCCCCTCCTATCGTGCTCCATCCTCCTCTCTCCCCGTTGTCCCTTCCTTCCGTCCGTCCTCTCTTCCTGTGTTTTTGGGGCTGCACAAAGTACACGTTGCAGGTAAAGAAATATGTACCCCTAAGGGGGTACGATCGAAGACAAATAATCCTCTCAAGGAATCCTTAGTAATGATTCCTCAAGTAGGAATCCTCAGTATGGAATCCTTCGTAAGAAATTGGTAAGGAATCGTTTTCAAGGGGTCCGAACTGAAGACTCCTTACCAAAGGAAGCTCGCTTCTCTGGCGCGCACGTGCAAATCAGGAGCGCGAGTCTTGATGCTGTCTAGGGACAGCGAGAGGGCTTTGTTTTAAACCGGGCCGTTGTTGTTGTCGTTGCTGTTGTCGTTGAGTTTTCATGTCTGAAGAATTGTTGATCCCCCCACCGGTGCATATTGTTTTTTCTCAATCAAAGTGTGCCCCTCGACGCTCGCACCCTGTTTTTTGACAGGGAAAGTCTTGATGCTCGAACTGGGCCCTTGGCCCCAGGGTTACAACAACAACGGCTCCCGCTTTAGACTTCCTTACGATTTAGCCAGGACCCCCGCCCCCGCCCGAGACTTCCTTGTATTTTATCCAGGTATCGCGCTCTCGCTTGGGACTTCCTTACAATTTATTCCGGAATCGCTCTCCCGGCGCTCTGGAGTCGCGCTCTCGCTGGTGACTTGCTTGCATCTTACTGAAATATAGCCTTGCGTAGGAATTTCTTGCAATTTGCCCAAGCTCCGCGCTCCCGACACCCAGGCACCCAGGAGTCGCGCCCGTTGTGACCCCATGTGCATGCCCTTCGTGGCCCCGCTGTCGCCATTTGTGTCCCCCTCATTGTCCTACGTGGCCCAGTTGCTACCCTCAGCGGCCCCATAGTTGCCTTCTGTGGCCCCGCATTATCTGCACTTCGTGGCCCCCGCTCGTTCGCGCCGCTCTTCGTGGCCCCATACGCATTCCCTTCGTGTCCCCGCTGTCGCCCTTCATGGCCTGCTTCGTGCCCTTCGTGGCCCTGCTGTCGTTCTCTCTCGCTCTCGCTTTCGCTCGTCGCCGCCGTCGTCGTCGTCGCCGTCGTCTTCGAAGACGTCGTCGTCCTTGTCGTCGTCGTCGTCGTGGTCGGTCCCCTGTCCGTCCCTCTTGGGGTCGGGTCGACGGTCCGCGGCCGCCCCGCCGATCAGCGCTGCCGCTGGCCAGGCCGACTGTCCGCGGCCGCCTCGCCGCTTGTCGGGGCCTGGCCTGCAGGGAAGAAAAATATACCCTCCAAAAGGGGCTCGATCGAAGACGAAGAGGGCGGGTATCGAGGGTTTGGGAAATACGCGTTATTGGACACTCGAGCACATATGGACGAACAGTCTTAAAATTATTGTTGTTGTTGTTGTTGCTGCTGCTGTTGTTGTTGTAGGCAACAAGGACACTGGGGACCCACGGGTTTCCTAATAGTGCCTTGAGACCGATCGTTTTGAAAGGCTTCGCTGAACATCGTTGACTCCTGGCCAGAAGAGGGGCGATCGGTTTCGGAAGCTTGGAACACAGTAGCGTGATCGCCCCCAGTCGCCGCCTCATGCTCTGTATCATCGGCCACCAAACACTGATATGTTCTATAAGTTCTATGACATCCGAACTCGAAGGGCCACCAAACACTGCTATGCTCTATGAGTTCTCTAAGTTTCATAATTCCCGCAACCGTTCCAGGCGGTCTCGAACGGTTGCAAGAATTATAGAAATTATAGAACTTATAGAGCATAGCAGTGTTTGGCGGCCCTCGCTTGCGGATGTCATAGAACTTATAGAACATATCAGTGTTTGGTGGCCGATGATACAGAGCATGAGGCGGCGACTGAGGGCGATCACGCTAGACCAGCTGCCCCTGTGTGAATTCACGAAGGGCAACGCGGAGATGAAGCATTTCGTGGACGTCATCTCCGAGCACGACTGCGAGACCCCCAAGGGCGACATTCGTAGGTGCTTGGGTCGACAGAGCCCCGCCTGCGGCGAGCTCCCAGAGCCTTTCCGCTTGAAGGATGCGGGCGGCCTCCAGTGCCACATGTCTCTCTTCGCCATCCCCCGCGAGGGCGGCAAGTTCACGGCCGTCAAAGTGGTTGAGATGGTGGAGAAGCAGAGAAAGCACTTCTTGCATGACCTGTGCATCGGGTCGCCGCGAATGGTCAGCTGGAACGAGATTGGCGGGTCGAACGCCCGCCATGGCCTCAAGGCTTTCCAGTGCATGATCGAAGGGCTAGGTGGCTTCCACGCGCTCGCGTTCGGGTTGGCCCCTTCATCCAAGGAGAGCGACGTCTACGACGAGGGCGCCATCGACGCTGGTTTCGACTACATCTTCGACGAGGGCCCGCGCCACGCCGAGAAGCTGGTCCATATGAAATGGACCGCCAAGAAAACCAGCGACATTTCGGGCAGTCCAATTGCTGGGTGGCGCGATGGGCTGGTGGAGAAGGCGTTTTGCCAGCTCGCGCAGGCCGACGCCATTGCGACGGCGCAGACGTTCTTCGGCATGACGATGGCGGACTACGAGATGCACGTGGTAGACCTGGGGGCGCGCCTGCTGAAAACGAGGAGGCTGAGGGGCAACTGGTTCCTGGGCAAAGCAGGGGTCGGCAAATCCCCGTGCGTCAAGTCACTGATGATGTGCTTTAGCCGCCAGGCGCGCGTCGACGCGATGTGGCGCGCCGACGAGGCGCTGAGCGGGTCAGGCCGCGTCTGCTCCGAGATGGACTTTTTCAGGGGCCGCCTTGGGCAGGTTGACGTCCCCGACATCTTCGACGATGGCGACTCCTCCACCCGGCGCCCGAGGGTTCTTAAGGCATTCGGCGACATCTCGTCGGAGGAGGCGGTGGCCATGGCGCGGTGGACTGGGTGTCGGTGGGCGAAGGGGCAGCCGAGGGCGCTGCTCGACAACGAGTGCGACCCGCGCGCAGGGCCCCCCGAGCAACAAGCCGCCAGCGCCAAATCTGGCGCAGAGACCATCACGCACGACCAGTTCATGGCATTGATCCGCCCAGCCTGGCCAGTGGACATGCTGTGCCCAGACCAGATGGCGGTTCTGAAGCGCAACACTTTCGCCGTGCAGACTGACAGCTGGTTCTACATTCGGTTTGCGACCGATGGGGAGGTGCCAGTTTGCAGATTCCCCGCGCCCGAGAGGAAGACGTGGATCCGCAAGACGAGCGAGCCCAAGTACGGCGCCATCCTCGAGGGGAAGGCGGGCGTGCCCGACGGGCACAAGGCTGCGTTGGAGTGGGGGTGTCGCTGGGCGGACCACGTGCTGCGGCATGGCACCGCGCCTGGCCCGCAGCCCGCCGACCCGATGTGGGCGAGGGGCGATGCCCCGCTCGACGTCTGCCAGATAGCGGACGCCTTCAACGAACCAGAGAAGGTGCGCGAGTTCCTCCGCGCGCCCGCGGCCCCGACGCCAGCCCAGGACACCGCCGCGGCGCGCGGGGTCTGCCCGCCTCGGCGGACAGCGAAGCGGGCGAGGCTCGGCACTCAGGAGCCCCGCGCGGGGTCACCCGATCCTTTCGCGGGCGGCTTCAAGTGCGACCGCCGCGGGTGCGACAGTGACTACTGCGAGGGCGACGGCGACGAGCCGCCGCGCGGGCCCCCCGCGCGGGAGATCGAGCGGCTTTGGGGCCCCCACCAGGCTGGCGCCATCACGCTCGGGGAGTTCAACGCATTGAAGAAGTCCACGATCGCGGAGCTTGCGCCCGTGAAGAAGGAGGAGCGCAAGGTCAAGCAGGAGCAGGCGCCCCGCGCGCCGATCAAGCGGGACCCCGCGGGCGCGCGCATCAAGGAGGAACCTGGCAAGGTGGCGGGCGCGACCGAGAAGGCGACCGAGCAGGGGGTGATCGAGGCGAAGCCCGTGGACAAGCAGACGACGCAGCAGCTCTTCCCAGGCTCGGGGGGGGGGGGGGGGGGGGGGGGCAGAAGTAGGGCGGCGCTCGCGGGGCATCAAAGGAATCGCCCGTTCGTTGATCAGCGGGTGCTTGAGTTGCGCCCCGCTGGTTCGCGAGCACGGCTGCTCCTCTGGCCACGTGTAGCGGGCGATTGTTTTGCGCCCCCCCATGCGGCCGCCTTTACTTTGGGCCCTCGACGGACGTCGTGTCGATCGACTCGGACTGAGGCCGCCTCCGTGGGGTGCCAGGCGTAGCAGATGAGTTCAGCTGCGGTTGGCAGGCGAATTCGCTGGGGAAGGCGTGCGACTGTTGGGGCGTAACCAGATCGTGTGTGTGTGTGTGTGTGTGTGTGTGTGTGTGTGTGTGTGTGTGTGCGTGTGTGTGTGTGTGGGGGATGATAAAAAGAACGCGTGTCCGCCTGCATGCTCTACGCGTGCTGAAGATGGGCGGCGTCGTAACCAGAGCGCCATCCGCGTGGGCAGCACGTCCATATGTCGAGAGCTTGTGTGTGTGTGTGTGACCTTTCTTGTGTGCGAGAAAAATCAACACCTTCTCGGGGTCGTTGCTTCCAGGGTGCAGATGCGTGTGCTTCTATGCGAACCTGTCGTGATGCAGCGACAGTTGGACCAGCTTTGTGCAGCGCCCATGTTGTCGCATCATCCGTAGCATTTGGCCGGGCGACGGCGGGGGCGCCCTCGGCCATGGCGCCGAATAAGCGCCATCGCTGCAGCTGCTGCGGCAAGGCGGGGCACACCGTGGCGACTTGCCCGATCCCTGCTGCCGCGGTCATCAAGTGTCTGAAGGCGAAGATCCGCCGCCTGGAGAAGTCTAGCGCCAAGCCAATGACAGGCCAGCTTAGGGCGAGCCAGCCGAAGTCGTTCAGGAAGTTGCGGCGCAGGCGCTCCAAGCTGCACTCGGCCGGCCGCAGCGAGAAGCGGGCCGTCGCGTTGCAGGCCAACTTGGAGAAGAAGACTAGCGCGCGCGGGGCCGAGGGCTCGGTTGCAGCCCGCGAGGAACTAGTCAAGGCGGGCTTCCTTGCTCGGGCACCTCTCCGCTGCCCGGCCTGCGCGAGGGGGCGCCTTTCGGGCTGCAGTCGGGCCAGGGGCGGTGCGGCGAACAAGAACTTGCTTTACTTCCGCTGCAGCGACTGGGGGTGCCATTGTTACCACAGCGTCATGAAGTTCTCGAAGACCCCGTGCAGGCTGATCGGGAGTTGAGCTGCGTCCAGCTGAGGTCGCTGCTCGAATCCTACGCGGACGCGGCGGGCCAGTGCAGTGCCGGCGCGCGGAAGGCAGCCAAATCGGCATATTGCGGGTGCAAGGTTGCGTACCGTTTGCACAAGTATCTTCGCGGCTTGGAGGCCGCGGCAGGTGACAGGGGGAACAAGGCGATGCAGCTCGGCGGGGAGATCGAGCCCATCCGCAACATCGAGGGCGACGGCGCGGGTGAGCAGCAAAAGCGCGACGTGGCGGCAGGAGATCGCTGAGGCGAAGAAGAGGACGATGGCATATCTAGCTCAGAAAGCGTGCAGGGCGAAGAAGCGGCCGAGCAAGTTCGTGGAGCCCAAGCACTACGTGGTCCACTTTCGCTACGTAGGGCTTTGTGAGCGAGGTGGCCGGGTGGCCGTCGCCCCACTTCCAGTCCGCGCGGTGCCGCCTGGCACGGCGCCGCCGCCCGAGGCGCAGGGCGAGGTTCTCAAGTCGGGCATCATGAACAGACTGGTGAAGCAGAAGAAGGTGTCCGACGGGGCTCTGGCATGGCCCAAGATCGTCGAGCAGCAGAACAAGGCAGGCTCCAACATCACGCTGTCGGCGGTGGTTCACCAGAAGCGGCAGTGCACAAAATTCATTGCCAAGAAGAAGGGGGGGCAGTCCCGCTTGGCTGGCGCGCAAGCAATGGACTCACGGTGGAAGTACATGAAGGCGTACATCCCGCGGACTTTGAAGGCCGCCAAGGGTCGCGCCGTGAACCCTGACTTGCGCACGTACGTCATGTCGTGGCAGTGGAGGCAGAACGTGGCGTGCACGGGCGCCGCGCTGTGGGAGAGCGTGACCAGCCTGGTGAGGACGTCGCATGTAGCTGCGCGCAGGCCCGCTTTGGGCCGAGCGCCGCCTAGAGCTCAGTGACTAGTTGTGCTGCGCGGGCGGGGTCGCCGCTGCAGGGGGGCGATAGCGGCGGGGGCGCGCTGCGCCCCGCGCAGCATCATGGCGGCCGAGCGCTTGATCACAAAGATTGCCTGAAACGCTTGGGTTCAAATCTCCGTGGGTCCCCAGTGTCCTTGTTCCCTTGTTGTTGTTGTTGCTGCTTCTGCTGCTGTTGTTGTCGCTGTTGTTGTTGTTGTAATTGTTGAATCTCATTTCTGAAGAATCATTGTTGTTGATGCCCCCCCATCGGTGCACATTTTTTTTGTTAAAAAAATCAATGCGCGCCCCTCGACGCTCGCACTTTGTTTTTTGACAGGGAAAGTCTTGATGCTCAAACTGGGCTCCTGGCCCCTGGGTTGCAACAACAACGGCTCCCGCTTGAGACTTCCTTAGAATTTAGCCAGGACACCCGCCCCCGCCTGAGACTTCTACGCATTTTATTCAGGAATCGCGCTCTCGCTTGGGACTTCCTTAGAATTTATTCCGGAATCGTTCTCCTGGCGCTCTGGAGTCGCGCTCTGGAGTCGCGCTCTCGTTGGAGACTTGCTTTCAACTTGCCGAAAAATGGCTTTGCGTTGGAATTTCTTGCAATTTGCCCAAGCGCCGCGCACCCGACACCCAGGCGCCCAGGAGTCGCGCCCGTTGTGGCCCCATGTGCATGCCCTTCGTGGCCCCGCTGTCGCCATTTGTGTCCCCCTCGCTGTCCTACGTGACCCAGTTGCTACCGTCAGTGGCCCCATAGTTGCCCTCTGTGGCCCCGCATTATCTGCCCTTCGTGGCCCCCGCTCGTTCGCGCTCTTCGAGGCCCCATACGCATTCTCTTCGTGTCCCCGCTGTCGCCCTTCGTGGCCTACTTCGTGCCCTTCGTGGCCCTGCTGTCGTTCTCTCTCGCTCTCGCTTTCGCTCGTCGCCGCCGTCGTCGTCGTCTTCGCCGTCGTCTTCGTCTTCGACGTCGTCGTCGGCGTCGTCGTCGTGGTCGGTCCCCTGTCCGTCCCTCTTGGGGTCGGGTCGACGGTCCGCGGCCGCCCCGCCGATCAGCGCTGCCGCTGGCCAGGCCGACTGTCCGCGGCCGCCCCGCCGCTTGCCGGGGCCCGGCCTGCAGGGAAGAAAGGTATACCCCTCCAAAAGGGGTTCGAACGAAGACGAAGAGGGGGGCATCGAGGGTTTAGGAAATTCGCGTTATTGGACACTCGAGCATATAAGGGCGAGCCGTCTTAAAATTGTTGTTGTTGTTGTTGTTGTTGTTGTTGTTGTTGTTGTTGTTGTTGTTGTTGTTGAACTCTCGTTCTTGAAGAATAATTATTGTTGATCCCCCCCACCGGTGCACATTGATTTTTTTCGATTGAAGTGCCACCCCCCGGGCTCGCACCTTGTTTTTTCTCAAGGAAAGTCTTCCTGCTCAAACTGTGCCCCTGCCCCCCGGGCTACAACAACAACGGCTCCCGCCTGAGACTTCCTCGATTTTTACTCAGAACCCCAACTCCCGCCTGAGACTTCCGCGCAATTTACTCAGGAAAGGCGCTCCCGTCTTAGACTTCCTCGCAATGTAATCAAGACCCGCCTGAGAGTTCCGTGCAATTTACGTGGGAACGGCGCTCCCGCCTGAGACTTTTTCGAATTTTACTCAGGACCCCCGTTCCTGCTTGACATTTCCGCGCAATTGATTCAGGAACGGCGCTCCCGCCTGAGACTTCCTCGCGATTTAGTGAGGACCCCCGCTCCCGCCTGAGACTTCCGTGCAATTTGCTCAGGAACGGCGCTCCCGTTTGAGACTTCCCCGCAACTTAGTCAGGGCCTCCGCTTCCGCCCGAAATTTCCTCACAATGTATTCAGGACTGCGCTCTCGCGTGCGACGTCCTCACAAATTATTATGGAATTGCGTTTCGGCGCTCAGGAACCACGCGCGCGCCAAGGACGCCTTCACAACGTGGTATCTTCCCTCTTCTTTCGTCCTTCCCCCTCCCCTTCCTCCCACTCTCCCTCGTTCTTCCCCTCCTCCTCTTGCAGGGCCCGCGCCAATTCCAATGGCGGGCAGAGAGATGTACGCCCCCGAAGGATTGTCCGCCCGTTCCGGTTTGCCCGTACGTCTAAGCCCGCCGGCCCCAGCAAAGTGAAATAATCCCCCCGAAAGGGGTGTGATCGAAGACGAAGAGGGCGGGTATCGAGGGTGTAGGGTATACGTGTTGAATGACTCGCGGGCAAGTAGGAGCGTACAGCCTTAAAATGATTGTTGCTGTTGTTGTTGTTGTTGTTGTTGTTGTTGTTGTTGTTGTTGTTGTTGTTGAACACTATTACTTCTAAAGAATTATTATTGTTGGACCCCCTGGTGCACGCCCCCCGCCCAAAACCTAGGCCGCAGCTACATTTTCATCATTTTTCTGCGAAAGCTTCAGAAAAGTGGATTACCCCCGGATCCGGTTTTTTGTTGACGCTCGTTTTCCCTTGCAAAAAACAATAGAAAATGAAAATTCTTGTTCTTAGTTGATCAAATTTCAAGAATCCCTTGCAAAAAATAAGGTAAAGTGGACATTCGCGCTCGCAAGACGAAATCCTTCCAAAACCTTAGGTTTCGTAACGATTTTAACATAAAAACATCAAAAACCCAATGGTTGTTTAAGAAAAAATTGTCAAAATGTCCTTCCGCGCGCTCTTGCGGATTCATAGGAAACACACCACTTTTTAAACATTTCTGTCAAAAGGGTCTTTGCGTGCTACTTCTTCAGGTGCTTTGAACTTCTCCAACAACGGTTGCGCGCCTGCGAGGGCCACCATCCCTTGCAAAAAATGAGACGACGTGCACATGCGCGCGGCCGCCGCGCGCGCATGTGCACTTCGTCTGGCTGTGCACGCGCGCGTTGGGCACTGAGAGTTAGGATCATAGCGCCATGAGTCTATGAGCAATGCATGCGTCATCCTTGGGACTGTATAACATCAGTGTAACACATGTACTTCTGTAATCGCATCCCCACGAATTTGCCCCAAAAATGTGACCAACTATCT